TACTAGTAGTGGTACTGGTACTAGTACTAGTACTAGTAGTAGTAGTAGTAGTAGTAGTAGTAGTAGTAGTAGTGGTAGTAGTAGCACTAGTAGTAGTAGTAGTAGTAGTAGTAGTAGTCGTCGTAGTCGTGGTGGTGGTGGTGGTGGTGGTGGTAGGTGTTGTTGTTGTGGTTGTTTCCGCATCATGATTAAAATCGTCACGATACTCATACCACAATAGGAATAGTACTAATGAAAATAACACCACTGACTCACGATACTGATAGAAATGCCAAACATAGTACTAAAAATCAAATCATAGAATCATGCCAACATAAAATACATCCAGAATTAAACATAACGATGAACAATAACAATAACAACAATGAAAAAGTAATAGCAGTGACAACAACAACCAAAGGAGTATGAGTACTAAGTACAGTAATCATCACCACCATGATAACAACAGTAACAACCTTGCCTCGGAATTCTTCGTGGTGCCCTGGCTGCATGCTGGCGATGCCTCGTCACTGCGGCTTTGGGGTCGCTTCTGGACAGGTGTGCTCATGTCGGCTCCCTCAAGCCCGGCTACCTCCCACTGCGACACCTCGTCGCTGCAGTTGGCCTGCATGGCAACACCCACTTGCCAGAGTTGCAAGCTCGGAGGTGCTGCGGAGGTGCTACGACGCTGGGACCGGCGCCCGGCCTCACTAGGATCGGAAGGTACGGCAGTGGAAGGAGCACTGGTCCTTGCCTTCTCCCAAGGAACCTCGTCCTCGCACGAAAACCACTCCGAGTCCTGTCTTTTTGACAGGGCCCGATCCGGAACAGGCCGTGCTTCCTCGTCAGGAATTACAACCTCCAACTGCTCCACAACCTCACGCGTGGCCCCGCAAGCTAGAATCAGGTCTTCGCCCAACAAGCTGCATGTCAGAAGCATCGACATTGTATCGAAGGAAGTCTCTCAGAGCCACTTGCAACGTACCGGTGCTACCTCAATTTCGTCAATCCTGCCCAAAGCGACAACCATGACATCCAAACAGTGAGGCCTAGAAGCCCATGACACAAGCGCTTGATCCTACCACAAACGAGACCACTGCTGTCCTGCACTTGAGCATTCAGACATCAAAGCAGGCAGAAGCTGTGTGCAAGGAGGTCTCACGGAAGACTTGCGCAGTTCACAAAAGCCCTGGACAGCTGAGGATGCAACACAGATACCACCTGGAGCAACCAGTACCCCAACTCCTGCACAATGCTCTTGTAGACAAAGACACACCTCTACCTTCCACGATCGTGGGTTGTTTTTGCTGCCCCAAGTGGAAGATGACCTCTGCCTCTGGTGCCATTGGCGCCCACGCCAGGGAACCAGACCTTAGTTGATCACCGCTTCTCCCCTGAGCTCGTCTGACGCTGAGGCCGAAGCTCGACCAGCTCTGGCGGAAGTTGGGACACGTCCGTGGCGAAAGAAATCTTATGGTCCAACAGCACAGCTCACGTCCGGCAGTTCTCCAGCCACCTTAGGCTCCCGGCTTCACCTGAACTTCCTTCTTCACAGAGTGGCTTGTCCAGTCTTATGGCAAAAGCGCCTAAGAGCCGCTAGCCAGGTCTCGGCGCTGCTCCACGTGACATCGACGGAAGCCAGGCAGCCGACCCAAACCGGCTTGATCAGCCAGTGCACGGACGGGACCTCCCGACTCACACAGGCATCTGCAAGCTCCGCGCATGCGCAAGCTCTGCACGAAGCTTCCTACGCCTGAAGTCCTGAAGAGTTCGCTCTGAGCTGGCGGCTGTGCGGTGTTGGCGCGAGACCTGAGCGAGAAAAGCTCTCGCCCAAAGATGACGAGGGACTTCCATCAGGGCTGAAGCATACTGCAGCATGTGCGTCTTGATTTGGCCCCCACGGCGAGGCTCAAGTCGAAAACGATCTCTCGCAGTCGATTGATCTCGTTTGCCATGCAGTCTATCTGCCACCACGGCCGGGGTATGGAATGTACAGCTCGAAAGCAGGCTGCAAATGCGGGGCCGACCCACTGAGGACTTGCAGATTGTGCGCTACAGCAGGATGCGACGCGTTCAAGCGAAGTGCCTCTTGGAGGGCTTGCGATGCTTGGTCTCCTGCATTGCCATATGCGTATACGACGGCCATGTTACTCCATGTAATAGCCGAGTCGGGGTCACACTGCAAACCTTGTGTCAGCGAAGCAAGCGCTTGCTCCAACTGGCCTTGCCGGGCTTGTGCCACACCGAGTGCATTCCAGGCAAAGCAACTGTAAGGCATGCGGTTAAGTCCCTCCTGAAGGTAATTCGCTCCTTGCGCATCAGAGCCCAGCTTCACCATCAAGTACCCTAAATCAGTCATCCAGAGAAAATCGTTGCCGTCATGGAGCCCGATTCCGTGGCCATTCAATATCTTTTCGAAACTTCGGTATGCCTCTGAGAAGCGACCCAAGTTTATCAAAATCCTTGCAATGCAGTAATCCGTGATTGCTTGGTCATCGAAGATCGACAGGGACTTTTGGTAATAGTCTAACGCCTCCTCTAGCTGTCCAAGCGCCTGGAGCTCGGAGGCTTTGGCATGGAGTACCTTCACGCTTCTGTCCCAATGCTCGGCGTCCTTCATGAAAAGAATGGCCGGCGATTCCCAGTGCGACATGCGAATGTTGGAGTTAATGATGTAGACAGCCAGACAAATCGCGGCCGCCGTCCAAGCAAGGCGCGAAGCACGTTGCTTGGCTGCACAGCGGCTGCCAAGTCCACCTACGACAAGCGACCATCCGGCTGTCAAAGGGTAGAGCAACCTTTCCCCGATGGTGGTACCGACCAGGAAGAAGAGGTTGGACATGGGAACGAAGGGCACAACAATGAGGCCCAGCCCCAGGATGATGGAGGGGCATTCTCCCCGCAAGCGCATCCCGTGACAGGCTAAAGCTGCTACCGCCAGGTAGGCTGCTAGGATAAGTTGAAGTCGTAGGTCCAAAACGGTTGTGACCATGGGAAGAGACTCGAAGGAGTAGTCCCATGACTGGTTCCACGGGAATACCAGCAGTTTGGCATAGTAGCCATGCTGAAACAAGTAAGACAACGTCCGCACAAGCAGAGCCTGCGACTCGCTACCGTGCAGCCTTACATCTTGATAACGTATTGGGGTGTCGACGTAACCGAAGCCAGCATCCGTACCACCAACATACCAAGTTCGTAATCCTGCGATGGCAACGAAGGAGATCAAGAGGCCCAGCACGTGCTTCCATCTGCAGCGTAGCGCGGCCTCTGCACACATAATGAAGAACAAAGCAGTGAACCCTGGCTCTTTGCATAGTCCGGAAAGACTGTTCAAGACTACCAAGACCACGTAGAATACGAGGGTCTGCAAAGGACCGGCGTTCGTTTGTAAGCTTGAGCGAAGGTAGAACAGAATTGCGAGCAAATAAAAGGTGGTAGACAGGGAATCCGCACGTCCCACCAAGTAAACTATATTTTCGATGTGCACCGGGTGTGCAGCAAACAAGGCAGCCCCAAGACCAGCCCATCGCAGTGGGACTCGTGCTTGAAGCAGAACCGCAAGCATCAAGGCAGCATTCAGACTATGAACCAAACAGCTAAGAAGGCGCATGGGCTTCATCTCTGCCCCAGCAAAGCCGAAGCGAGAAGAAAGCTGCCACTCTGCAGCATACATCAAGGTTATCAAGGGGCGCCATGACTTGTGAGTGATATAGCCCTCTGGCGGATTCAGGGGTGTTCCCCAAAAGTCATGCTTGAGCACTTCCATGACCGAGGTCTCTCCTCTGGCATCTGGGTTCCGATAGATGGCAAAGCCTTCATCCACAAACCAACTTCTGTAGCTGACACAGATATAGTAGGGAAGCGTCAGAGAGACAACGGTGACATACGCCACGAACCGAAGCCATGAAGGCTGTGCCGATTTCACATGAACTGACTTTCCATTGCTTGAGGCTGTCTTGGCAAGCCTGTCACAACAGGCCAGCAGCTCACTTGCCCTCGAGCGAATAACTGCAGCATCGACCCCCGAGACATCCAATCTCTGCACGTCCGTCCGGCAGATGGTCTCTACATCTTGAAGCAGCTCAGCCACGGTGCGTGGCACTTTGCCGTTGGCTTTCTGCGCAGGGTCCGAGGAGGCCATCAGGTCTCTTCAAACGGAACTGGCGGTCCGGTCTGCGGCTGCTAGGGACTTGCGGGCTTGTCAGAAGTTCGTCATGCTGTTACAGCTACAGTCGCTGGAGCAGTGCTATGCCATGATACTACACAAGGATTTCGAACCATCTCTGCAGCGGACAGGGGGGTTGTGAGCTCTGTGGATTGCGCCACACATTCATCTGCTCAAGTGTCGGCTACTCGGTAGGGTCCCAGCCAAGAATGCCATCGAATGGCATGTCAATGAATGGGAAGTCACTCTCCTGATCTCGGCTGTGACCGACTGTAAGCAGCCCGAAAGTTGCCCCGGCACAAAGCATGCAAGTTGTTTGCCCACCTGCTCCGCAGCGTGAAGGTCCATTGTGGCACAGAGCTTCGATGGACGGTCTGCATCGGCGGAAAGACAGCACCCCTCTTCTCCAAAAACCAACGAGGGCCTAAGTAAGGGCACGCCTCCGCCTAGGCAGAACTTGTCGTGAGCGGGGAGCCCCACCAGGTTTCCGGAAGCAAAGCTCATGGCCTCCGGCGCCATCTTTATGTACGTATGTACATATGTATGTATGTATGTATGTATGTATGTATGTATGTATGTATGTATGCGTGTGTGTATGTATGTATGCATGTATGTATGCATGTATGTGTGTATGTATGCATGCAGAGTAGAGGAGAG